ACTGATTAGAATATTAATTTACCGATATCGTAATAATTTAATTTGTACAAATCTAATAATTAATTATTATGTATTTTAGTTTTCGAATAACTTGAACAATATAAAATATAATTTAATATATAATAATATATAATTTTATATTTATATATTATTTATATATTATTTTATAATTGCTATTATTAATAATAATTTTTAATGCATCAATTATTTCATGAAAATCAAAATAATTAAATTTTAATAAAGTAAAAAGAATAAGTAAATAATTTTTGCGATTCAATATTTTATAAATAATGCATGCATCAATTGAAGGATTCACGATAGGAAATATTATTTAATGAATGCAATAAATAAATCAAATGTTGTAATATCAAATTAAAAAAAGAAGAAAAAGAAATGAAATAAAATACATTTTCAAATTAAAATTAATAAAATAATATAAAATTATTTTCAAAGCGACACTTTCGAGCGGTAAATTTAAATTTATCCATAGTTGAAAGTAACTTTACATTACATAGATTGTAAAAAATAATTCAAATAGATGTTTGAAAAAACAATTCACTCTTTCTAGTAGAAAATTTTATAAATAAGCTTTTTTGGCATGTATTCTTTTTATATCGTTCGCGCAACTAGTGCTTTCACAATAGCTACTGTTCGATATGTATTGACGCAAATCACGAGCATTCAACGCTATCAAAGATTTAATCGACTTTTGCCAGAAATGAAGAAAAATTTGACAACTAATTTAAGTATATAGAAATTGAAGTTTTGTTCGCGAAAAAACGCAGATAATTAATTATAAATATTATAATATTTATAGAGAAAAAATATATTACATGTTTAAAATATGTAATTATAATTTCTGTTATTAACATTATAATAAAGATTTCATAGACACTTTAATTCTCGATGTTAAATCGATAATAAATTATAGTATAATAAATATAAATTGTAAAGAAGAAGTTTTTAAGTATTTAAATATTTTTTTTAATATTTATTTGTCATATTTTGAAAATATTAAAACACGTAAGCATATTATAATAATTAAAAAACGCGTTAATTAATATATTGCTTCAAGAAATGTAGGTTCAAGTGTCGCGTGATTTAAGTTAATTACATACTTTAAAATTCTAAAAATTCTACACGATTTTTAGAGTTGATAAAATTGAAATTTAAATACAATTTTCAACGAGATTTATTTATTTATTTCTAAATAATATTAATAATAATATTTATTTCTAAATAATATTCTTATTTTTCAAATTACAATTAATTCACGAATAACATTTTCAATTTTTAGGAACATTTTCCTATTACACCCGAAAAATAATCAATAAAAAAAATATGGTCATGACTACATATATATCTTAATCTGAAATGCTTTCTAGTGAATGACAAAACGAGCAATATATTTCGAAACAAAGGACAGGATATTTTTACAAATACTAGCGTGCAATGAGAGACAAGAAAAGGAAACCAATTTCACATTGATCGTCAAGCAATTTGTAGAATAATTTGTGAGATCGAATGTATCCATTTAAAACTTTATATTCAACAATATATTTCGATATTAATATTTTTCCCGAGAATGTTACATTCGAGAATGATATTACATATACTTTCAAAGTAATATCATCGGTAATAAAAAGAAACATCAAAAATTCACTGCTATTCATAAATTATCGATAAAAATGCATAAATATTTGATTATTACTACTAAAAAATCACATTTCTGTTTATCACAATAAACAGAATTTCGTTTGTGAATATTTCAAATCTTTTTATTACTATTTTTTCATATATTATCTATTTGATAACAATTTTATTTCTTTAATTAATAATTCTGTAATGAAAAATGTCCTTTTAATCTTTAGGGCTTCGAAATTTTAGAAAAACTTTTAGAAAACTTGAAGATATATTTTCGAAGTTTTTAATGTTAAATTCGACTATTATTATTAATCTTTTGAAATAACTTCGTGTAAAAAAAAGGCTGTTGAATCTCTTTGAAAACTTGATTTAATTGCATATATTTATTTTTATTCGTTGTTTAAATATTATCCACGCAAAATCACTGACCTATGCGCCAGCAACACTCTGCATATCGTAATTGCCAAGTAATTTTAGCCGCTATTCGTGCTATGAACACGATTTTGTTACTTACCACGCATTGAAAAACAGCGCTGCAGTATAACACTAGTCGATATTTCAATCGTCGTGTATGATTACCTCCATCTTTTCACGTATCTATTTCATCGCATAAAGACATATTTTCGGTACTGAAACACGATATACGAAGCTCAATTGCAATTATTTATCGTTAGGTTTCTTTCAAATTCTACTTCTTCGATGAAATTTTTATTCGATTCTATCCTTGACTATAGAATACTCTAAATTCAATTATGAAACTGTGACATTAGTTTTAAAAAAAATTTCGAAATTCTGTATCCATTTCTTTCGAATTTGAAAAACGTAATCATTTATTTATGCCATGAATATACGATTTTTTCAATATATATTTTAAAATATATATCATTTTCATTTTCCATTGTTCATTTTCTAAGTTCTTGTATGTTTTACGCTTTCGTCAATGATAATCAGAAACCAAGAATCAATTGTTTCGAGCATTGAACCGAATGAAGATTGTAATCGATTTGCAATTTTTACAATTCAAGGTGCTGATATCATTTTAGTAGATATGTAACACCTGGTCTGCTCTCACCTCTTCTTCGACTTGTATGTCGCATAGATATATATGTACAACGTTTTGTATCTCTTTCTTCTGCACATATCCGGCACAGTAACCTCAATTTGATCTTAGATCCTAATTCGATACCTTTATTCTACAACTCTTCATAAACAAGAGTGTTCAAAATTCTTCAGTTACGAATAGACACACCAAGTCGGTTATTCTGATGAAAAACTTAATAGTTTCTAGACATATTTCCAACCCCCTCGGGTACATGAATTTTTTATAACCATCCTTCTTAACCCTCGTACTGGGTAAAATTGATCTATACCTATACCAATAGATCTAAATCTAATATATTTTATTTTATCTTGTACTCTATATCCTATAATATATTTCATCGAAAAATATTATCGATGATGTTAATCGCATAAATCGCATATCTCTTTCTAATCTAATCAAAAATATATATTTTTAAGAATAAATAGAATTATACTTATAATTCGATTATTATGATTGAAAATTGAAATGTTGAATTTTTGACGATTACAAAAAACGAGCAGAAATGAGCAGAAGAAAACGAAACATTAATAAATTCCATCACATTTGTCATCAATTATGTTTTGTATTACGAGCAACGAAAAAATATTCAATATATAATATATGTGATATATTGTACAATGATTACTTTCGTAATCCTCGTTCTTCGAAGAATATCGTCTATGAATTAAGGCTTATCGATTCCCTTTATCCAGTTAAGCCGAGAAGATCGCCGTTTAGAAACTCTCCACTATAATTATTCAAAATGGTGTCCAAGGAGATGATTCTTTCTCCTCTTTCTTTTTATCCTTTCTTCGATAAGGTATTTCAGGAGCACTAGATGGAAATCGATCTTTCCTAATGTCGTTTTTCTCTTTTAAAATCGCTCGTCGAGATCATAAAACACATGAAGTTTTATAAGATCGGAAGGATCGTATTTTACAATTCTTACTTTTCTCCATTAAGATGCCCTGGGCATCTTAAGTTATCATTGAAGACGAACGTCGAAAACTCGAAAGGAAAATATATGGTAAAAAATTTAAAAAATTTATTTTATTTATATTTGATTATTGATTTATTTTACCATTCTTTTTAAAAGTTTAAAATTTTGCAATTTCCCTATATTAATCTTTTTTCTATATTAATATTGTACAATGTACGCTATTCTTCATATAAATCCTTTTATGAGGAAAGTATTATATTTCATGATTTTATCGTAAGACAATTATCATTGCAACAATTCAAATCTTATAATAGAATTAAAAAAAATTTACTAGAAATAAGAAAGAAAAATCAAAAATTTACAATTTCTTTATTTATTAAAAAAGAAAGAAATGGAATCATTTTCATTAATGTTGTGCTTTTTTTTTATTTGTTTTTTATATAGTAATTATATAATTCAATATAAATATCTATGTATATTTATAGATATTTATATTTGAAAACAAATAAAATTTCTTTTTTTTAAAAAAAAAAAATCATTTCTTTAGATTTTTTATTGGATAAATTTAACGTTAATGCATTTCTTTTTTTATGAGTGATGATACAACAAAATAATCATTTCTTGAATAATATATCAAATAAGTTATGAAATTTGTAATTTGTATTTAAGTATAAATTAATAATTCAATAATTTATACTTAAAAATTAATGATTTAATATTAAAACAGAAATTTAAAATAACTGAGATATATAAAAATGTTAAATTTATTTGAAAATTTTATATTGATATTTCTAAAAAAATAAAAATTTTAACAATTAAATATAATTAGTTAACAATTTAATAAATTATGTTGAAAAATATTAAAAATAAATATTTATTGAAAAGCATGAATGTTTATTGAAAAGCATGAATATTTATTGAAAAATGAAAGATATAAATAATGATCATATATATATATCTAGCACTAAATCTCATTTATATAATTTATCTAATTGCAAATTTATGTAACAAAATAAATATTTAGATTAAATGAAAATAAAAATGAAATAGACAGCTCAAAATTATTAAATACAAAAAATAACAATCAATTATCTTAAATGTTTAATCCTTTAAAGAAAGAATGAATCTCGTAGATATTTCTGTCTCTTCTATTATAATTACAATTATTACAATAAAAATTATCATTGAATATAAAGTTGTATAAAATAAGTTACAAAATCAGATAAAGAAAAAACAATGACACAAACACGAACGAAAATAATGGATAAAGAAATAATTGTTCTTAAAAAAAGAAAAATTAATGTATCATTTAATCGTGACATTTGTTGTACCCACTCTAATATTTGCGGCGGTTTGAAGCTGATGTCCAACCGATATGTGGCCTCACAGCTTAATTTGACGGTTTTTAACTGTCGAAATCTTGCTGAAGTTTCCATTTTGCAATAAACTGGACCAGCAGTTGGTTCCCTTCTTAGGGATAAGGTCACACGAAAATGTCCATCAGCACCCATCTAGCTCCATAATTTAACTTTAAAGGAAATATAAAAAAGAAAATAGCGCAATATCTCTTTTGCAACTTTTTCAATATAAATTTGTTTAAATTACATGTTATATTTGTGCACGTGATATAACAAAAATGAATTTAAATTTTTTTTTATAATTTAAAGAACAATTTATAAAATTTGCACAATCCGAGGGAACACCGTGACAAGACAAACGAACATTGCAACGTGCGCGGTGGGCGTCGCGACGCTTACTGAACCGCAGCGTCGTAGAGGTAATGTGATTCCGAACACGCGACGACAACTTTTTCCGTTTTGTTTTTCATTCCCAATCAGCTTTTCCTTTCTGAATATAATAATGAAGAAGATAATTATATGTTATAATTATATGCAAATAATTATATGCTCAATTATATATACTGTCAATTAATTATTGAAAATAACTATAAATAAATATTTATGTCAAACAAATGAATGATAATATAAACTATAAAATAATAAGATAATACAAAAAATAAGATATAAAGCGAACTATATATCAAAATCATAATCAAACTAAGTTTCAAATTATTATTTTTATTTTAAATTTACGAATTCTTATTTTTATTATTATTTTTATTTTAACATTCTCAAAATCAAAAATATTCATTCCATCATATTTTAGAATAATTTCTTAAAAATACTTTGATATCGTAAAATATTTCGATCTCAATAATTCAAAAATGAAAAACTTTAATTTCTAATTCCACAATGAAAAAATTTTATAACATAAAGATGGTTCAATTCAATAAGAAAATATAAATCGAATGCTATATAAAATTTAAAATTTTTTTTCATAAATAATAAAATTATAAATATAAATAAATGACTTTTCAAATTTAAGATATTTTATTGATATGCGAATACAATTATTAAAAAATTATACGATAAATATTTTTAATCACATTTATTCTTTAAATTTACAAATTTGAAATTATTTTTTATAAAATTATGAAAGATATTTAAAAAACATTTAGGATAGTTAATATTTTTTATAATATAATATTATGATATTTTACTATATTTATAACACTACATATTTTTACTCAAAACAAAAATTTGCAAAAATTACAAAATTGAACACAAATGTAAACATATAAATAACTGTACTATGAGTAAATATAATCAATTTAATATGATAATTTATAAGATAAATATATTAATATTTTAAAAATACAAGGTATTTTATTAAGTATTTGATAATAAGTAACAAAAATAATTCAATTTTTTCAAATATAAAATAATATGAATTATTAATAATTTCTGTTATAGTTGCATTTTATTTATAAATTTATATATAGATGCATTTTATTTATAAATTTACTGAATAAAATTTTCTTAAATTTTAATTTTTAATAAAATGTTTAATATTTAAAATATCCATTATATTTCCATCTATAATCATATTTGTTTTATAGTTTATTTAAAATAACAATATCATAAAAAATAAAGATTCGCACAATATCAATGGATAAATTTTAGGTACCTATTCTCCAAACATATTTCCAATCAAGCGCTACGCGCATTATTAATTGTCATAATGAATGTTCGTATTGTTTTATTTCAATTTCAGGAATGTATTGACTTAAAGCTTGACCCATTTTTATTCTTTGTCCAACATGTACACAAAATTTAAAATCTCTTGAAGCTTCAAATAATAATATAATAGTAGATCCCATTCTAAATTCACCAAACAATTCTCCTTTTTTTAAATATATACAATTTAAATTAGCATCTTTCCAGTGTTTGATTTCAGGCCATTTAATAGCATTTGTATATAAATCTTTATCGCAGTAAACTTTTATAGAACCTACATTTGTTGCACCAACTGCACTATAAGCCATAAAACCATCAGCCCATTTACCAATGTATATTACACGTTCATTTAATGAAAATAAATCTGGTAAATATTTTGCTACTTTAGGATTAACACTTAAAAGCTTTCCTGAAATATTTTATTAATTTTAATTGAAGTCATTATATCAATTAAACCTAATTTTTGAAATTAATAAAAATAATAAACCTTGAAAATGTCTACGAAATTTTATTTCCCAATGAGTTGAACTATGAAATCTATGATAATCTCCTGGAGCAAGATAAACTGTTAATTGATAGAGTTGATTCATTGGATTTGTTAAAAGAGATTTTATATAAGCATCATCATCTTCTTTTGTAAATTTATAATGATCAGAATCAAGTGTACTTATATCACCTAAAAAATGTCTGAGATTATAAGTTACACCCTTCACTTGTTGTACAGAACATGAAGTGACTGGTCCACAATATAATACTTTTCCATCAGCAGGTGAAACCTATTACAAATTTATATATTATCATATTATCATATTAATATATTATTTAAATTAATAATCTTTATAATAAAAATTATATACATACTATACTCGTATTTTGATCAATGGGTCTTGCATCATATTTGAGTGGTCTAACAAAAAAATCAACAAGACTTGGAAAATCTGATAAATTTATATCAATTTCATTTAAATTAACATCAAAAGTTTTTGCATAAAATTCATATAAGGTTGGTCTTAAACTAACTGGTAATTCCAAACTGGCTATCCAACCCCATATTCTACTTATTATTCGAAGTGGCAAAAAATTATAACATTTTACCTGTAAAGTTTTTTATAAATATTTAAATTTAATTTAATTTATGAAATTTTCTTATTTGTATTATTTAAAATCTTTAATTTAAGTGGCTAATATTATAATAAAAAATTATACCGCAAAGATATTGAATGGCTCATATACATTGTTGTCTTGAGTTATATAGTTTTTCAAATGTCTATATTGTAATGCTGCTAATAATGATATTCCAAATGCAATAGAAACAGTCCATTTTCGTTGCTTCATAAATGAGTAATATTTATATTGATTTGTATATATATTTGAACTATATACTCTTGAAAATTTCTCATTTATTATATTTCTAAAATTTCTTTTTGTATACACATTTATATAATATTTACAATAGTTTTTTCTAAAACATATTAATAATTTTAAATATTAAATTATTTAATTAAATTAATATTAAAGTTACAAACCTCACATCTTGAATTAAACGACAAATTCTGAAGAGACTCATCTAGAAAATAAATTTTATTAAATAAACGTTGTTATAAACGTTTGTATAAACAATATATAAACGTTTATATAATCTCCTTATATTTTTAGGTTATATTGAATTTTATATATATTTTTCTATAAAAATATACTTATAAATAACAAAATAGAAACATATATGTTTAAATTTTCTAATATATTTTTATTTTAATTAATTTTATACATAATAATAATAATTTTATACATGTAAATAAGTCAGCTAGAATATATTTACAAATTTAATAACATATAAAATATTATGTTAATTTTAATTATTTTTTTATACGTACATTAAATTATACATCTAAAAATTGTTATATATATTTTTTAAGTTGTTACTAATTATTTTAAAAATTCGAAGGAAGAAAAAGAAATTAGAATAAAATAACTATAAACTCCTTAACCACAAATTCGTTCATTCAATAATATTTGTACAATATATATATATATATATAGAGCGTTTCAAAAATAGAAATTGGAAACTCTTAAAAACAATTTCAAGAAATATTTTTCTTTACAAAAACATTCATTATGGCTTTGTTAATAAGTTATCAACAAATAATATTAGCCAATCATGAAGTGCATAGACTAATCAAGCTATAATAGTAGTGTTGGATATATGTCATCAGTCAAGCATGAACAAGTATAAGTATATGTATCAAAAAAAATTTGTTGAACATAAGAAATATTTTTTTATCGAAAAAAAATTACATTCGGAATATATTTTCAAAAATAATGATAAATTAATTAATTATTATTCGTATAGAATATTCACATAGGATTCTTTCCTTTCCTTATCCTTTTTCTAAATATTTTCTTTGTCATGTTTCTGTCTCTTTTTTGTTATTTTCCTTCTCTTCTATTATTCTTTTGTACTTATACTTTATCTTCTTTGTCATTTTTCTTCTATCTTTTATCATTATCTTCTTTTGGCATTCTTCTCCCTTTTTTTTATCGTTATCATTCTCCCTCTCTATTTGTTATTTTACGTCCCCTTCTTTTGTCATATTCATATTCAACAGATTTTCTTTGATACATGTTGCTTGCATTTATTTTTGTATTCGACCAGCAGTATATATCCAATATTATAATATGCATATTTAACATTTTATATTATTTTATTTTATTTTAATTTTTATATGTAATATTTTTGTGAATTTTAAAATCTAAAATATTAAAATATTTCTTTTGAAAAATAGGCTATAATTTTTTTTATTGTATAATTTGTTTTGAAAAACTATTATTTTGTAAAAATATGTGAATATATTTGTTATTGCATTGTTTACAAAAAAATTGTCTGTCTAAAATATATTTTTTATGAAATAACTTTATATATATATGAATATGATTATTCAAATTATTCCATTTGATTGAAATATTTGAATAAATTTAGCTGTAAAATATTTGTTCAAGACAATGGTAGAAGATCAAGATAAAAGCAATTTTCTATAGTTGTATAATGTATCAATGCCACCGATTATAATCACCGCAAGAAAAGCGTAATAACAGGTGGCTCCGCGTTGTGGCAGGTGGATCAGTTCCTTTTTTTTATCTTTTCTGGATGGTATACGTTCTCCCATTGTTTTCGAGTGATATACACAGTACCTGAAGTGTATAGAAAATTCCTTATCGGAAACTTAAAATTTGTAATCTTACAAATCACGAGTGTCAACGGAAAGAAAAAGAAATGACGATTCGAAAAAGAAACCTATTGTGATAGATACAACAATTGTATCGCTTTAATTTGCCCAAGTAGAGGTTATATGTAAAATATTTTCAGAAATACACGCATGAAAGCTCGTGGTTGTAGTAAAGTAAAGAGCGAAATAATGCCACCGTCGTCACATACGAATTGGACTAAACCTCTTATTAAGAATGGTCAAACGATGCAACTGCAATCGAAACGAACAACTTGTTCAACACAAAATCAGAATTCAAATGGTAGTGGCACAGAACATAGTGGTATTCCACTTGACAGAAGAATCAAAGTTGTTCTGGTAGGTGATGGAGCCGTTGGAAAAACCAGCCTAGTTGTTTCTTATTCTACGAATGGTTTTCCGGGAGAATATGTACCTACTGCTTTTGATAATTATAATGGTTAGTTGAAAATCTAATAGTGGTAAGTGACATTTCAAATAGTGAGACAAGTTTAATTTGAAATAAAGTTTGAAATAAAAATGGTGAGTTTTTCTAATATATATTTTATAAATGAAGAAAAATTCAACGTAAATATTTTATATAATTAAATATGTAAAATATGTATTATATATAATAAATAATTGAAATTCATTTTATTATTATTTTTGCATATTTTTTTATTAAAATAATATTTATCAAATTAATAATGTTATAAAGTTAATCTTTCAATAATTTTAATATCTAATAATTCATTTTGACCTGTAATGTCTAAATATTAAAATTTTTCTAAATAGATTAATGTATATAAATAATTATTATCATTAATTTATATAAATTGAAAATTAATTGCTTTTTGGAATTAGTATATATAATATATTAAATATATATAATCTTTTCAAATATTTTAATTTCTTCTAGTGGTTGTCAATGTTGATGGTCAACCAGTAAATGTTCAGCTATGTGATACAGCAGGTCAAGATGATTTTGACCCTTTAAGATCATTATGTTATCCAGAAACAGATGTGTTTCTAGTTTGTTTTAGTGTTGTATGTCCTTCTTCTTATCATAATGTAACTTCTCGATGGATAAGTGAAGTACGAAAATATTGTCCTAATGCACCAATTATTTTGGTAAAAATATATTTTGTTTTATAATTATAAATCAGCAAAATTATATGTATTCTAATCTTATTTTACAACAAGAACAATGATGACTTTAGGTAGGCACAAAGAGTGATTTACGATCAGATGTACATCTTATGTTACAATTAGCAAGATATGGTCAAACCCCAATTACAAGTACTCAAGGGCATCAATTGGCTCAAAAAGTTGGAGCTGTAAGTTATGTGGAAACATCTGCATTAACTCAACATGATCTTAAAGAAGCATTTGATCAAGCAATAGTTAGTGCTCTTAACACAAGGAGAGGTGGTGCTAGTTTGTTATGTAGACGTAGAAAACCTTTACCATTATGGCGCAGATGGTTATGTTGTTGTGAAAGACCTTCTAATAGTGCATAAATAATGATTAGACTCTCTAGAATACTCTCTGTGATCAAGTACGACTATTTTGTTATCAGAATTTCTGAATTTATTAGTATTTTAATAATTCAAATATTTTATTTCATTAATATTCATTAAAAAAATATTTATGTATTTTTTATAATGTTTTTTAAATTACTATACTTAAGTATAGTTTAATAATTTTTTAAATTGAATAATAATTATATATATATATATCTTATATTATTATTATTATTCAATAATTAAATTTTTTATATTTTAAAAATATACTTTTTTTTAATTTTCTTATATAGATATAAATTCTGATAGCTAAGTCGTAAACTATTTGTAAAATTCCTGAAGCCAGGTCTGGTATAATTTATTAATTAATGTTATATATATATAACATTAATCATATTTTTATTACTAGAATATAATTGGCTATTTGCCTATTGTGATTTTTTCTTTATTAATAGGATTATTAATTTAGAACTTAAAAATATATTACATATTATCGCGTTATTATCACTAATATTATTATATAATGTAAACTATATTTATAATTGTGCAGTTTTTCTTACTGCAATGTTTCGTAAAATATGAATTATAATATACCTTTTTCAAATGCTAATTCTTTATGTCCTTATTTCTAATAATAAATTGCAATCAAAATATTATTTGAAAAATATATAACACATAGAAAATTATCATGTAATATTAAAAAATTAGTATATTTTTCATTAAAAGGACATAAGAATTAAGACAGGACATAAAGAATTAAAAATTTCATCAACATTATTAATATGTAAAAATACATACATCACATTGAAGTATAATATTGCATTGTTATTATATGCATATAAATGAATTATTAGAAATTAATTATTTAATAATACATCTTTATGTATACTTATATAAACAATTTATCTTTTACAAGCATATTTTTTTTTATATATGACTCAATATAATTATTATTTGAAATTTTTTTATAAATTATTAAGCAATATATTAAAAATGTTAATGTGTGAGCGCTGTGATTATGAAATTTAAATTTTGTCAAATTTTATAATTTTTGTATATAAAATATAAAAAGATATAAGACTGTTAAAATGTCTTAAATCTGCTTCTAAATTATTCTAAAATACATTATAAATTAATTGAGTCAAATTTTAATTGAATTTATATTTAGTAAACGCAATATTATCTATTTTGCAAAGTTTAAAAATAAAATAGTACTTTTAATATTTTTTAAAAAATAATAAAATTATAAAATATAATAACAATAGAATAACAATAAAAAGAGAAAAAATGAAGACTAATAATTTGAAGATAAAAGCATAATATTTATATTTAAATTAAATTATTAAAAAAATTTTCTTAAAGTTAGGCATTTTAACATATTTGATTTAATTTTATATTTTATTACTTTGCAGAAAATTAGAAAACATTAAAATACATATAATTTTCTTCAATTAATTATTGTTAGAAAAATAATATTATTTTTTATATTATAATATAATTATAAAATTTAATCAAATATTGTAATATATTATATGTTTTTCTTTATTGTAACTTCAACTTTTTTTTAATTTTTGTAATATGTTAAAAAATTGAATATATCTTTGCTCAAATTTTAAATTTTAATTTAGATGAATAGGAACTGATTTTTTTGTTTTTTAATGAAAATAATTTATATATATATTAAAAATTATATTGTATATTCATGAAACATATATAATTATAGTTTGGCAAATTCCATATAAAATATGTTTAAGATATATGGAATTATTTGTAGTAATTCAATTTTTATGTTACTTCTAATAGAACTAATGTTCCTGGATTTTGATATTAATATTATAAATTTAATATATGTGCTTTAAATGAAAAAAAAGATAATGTATGCTTATAATTAATGTCTACATCTAAATATAATATGCATATTATCTTTATATAACTTTTTACTATTAAAAAGTATATACAATATCCATTTTGCTATATTATGAACAAAGTATAAAAATTATATAATCAAGTATTAGTTTTTTAAAGTATATTGACAAATATATGTCATTATAATTTTTAAAATTAATATTTTTATTATTCATTTTGTTTCTATATCTATATTAAAATGTATTATATTCGCAATATTTTTTTTAATTGGTTACCATATAATTTAACAAGCATACTTTTTGTACTGTATTTTTTCATTTATTATAAATGAAAAAATAGAAAAGTACTTAAAATTATTCTACTATTACTAAATATATATATAAAATGATATCATTTTATCATATTATAAAAACATAATATTTAAAAGAAATATTATATACATAGATAAATGTATATAAGAAAAAATAAAAAAACAAATAGATAATGTTTTAGACTGAAGTGTCTCAATATTGTAATAAATAGTATTAATACTTGCTTGTTCTATATAAAAAGTCAATAATATTTTTGTAAACATTTTTCTATATAAATTTATGCTTTTTACTTATTAAATGTATGTTGATTGTATATTTGTATACCAATAATAAATTATTCATAAAAATCATATGTTTATTATAATATTATTAGAAATATATTATGATATTTAGATATTTCTTAATTTTAACAATAATACGATTTTAAAGTTTATGTAATATATTCAACTTTGAAAAAAAAAATATATTTTTTTTAATTGATAAATATCTTTTGTATATTAATAGATTTTATTTACACGATTTTATATACACGAGAAAAAAATATATATACATATATACAGACACATATATAGACATATCTTAATCTTGACGAGAAAATAGCATAAAGTTTTATCATCTGATTTTAGATATCAGTTCTATAATAAGTTATATATTATTATTTTATATTTTTTAAAATTAATTTTAAACTTAAAAACTTTTTATTAAATTGATTTTATTCATATTTAATTATATATAATATATAAGTATAATTATATTATAATTCATAAACTTAATTACGTAAAAATAAAAATCCATTCTATTCGAAACATCTATTTTTTCTTTTAAATATTTTTTAAATTCATAAATGGGACTTCAAAATTTTAATATTATCATCAAAAATATTTATAAAGACAAAATTTTAAAAATTAATAAAATTATACAAGAAAAAATTATGTAAACAATACAAAAAGTCACTTCATTGATTAATAATTAATCAGTAAAAATAAATGACATTTGCTTTGATAATCAAGTAACCTAGATATACAATATATGTAAAACAAGAATAAAACAAGATTACTAGATCTTTATACAAAACAAGTTTTGTAAAATTTATGAAATTCTGCAATTACGTAAAACATGAAGTCAGATATTACTGATCCATGGAGCGGAACAGATGTTCCACAAATCAGTAATAATAAGTGTGAAAACTTTTTCGAAGATTCTTTTGTAGTTAATCAGTCACAATATATCAAGTTAGCTGATTCAGAAGAATATTTGGAAAAACTTTGTAAGTTTTAATAAAAGTTTTATTATATTTTATTATTTCTCTTTTTGCATTATGTGCAGTATATAACATATTAATGTTATATTAATTGATAATTTCACAAAAACGTTTTTTTTTTATTTTTATATTCATTTTATTTTACTTTAAATATGTTATTTTATATAAAATAATAAAATAGATATAGAGTAAAATATTTCTATGCAAATTTTTAGAAATTATAAAATATAATTATATTAGATTCCAGACTTAGAATTCTTGAAAAAGGTACATCAAAAAAAGATCTTATAACATCTTTATATGTGGCAAAAGAAGATTCTATTGCACGTTTAATAACTTCTGGATGTAAGCTTGAAACAGAAGAAGATACTGAACTTGTTTCAAATCCTTTAATAAGACATATAGCACCTCATTTACAGGTAACTATGTAAATATAAATAATTCATATTTATTGTTAAATTAATTAAAATTAATTTATAATTTTTATAATATTTATTATATATATTATATATTTATAATTATTATATTATTATATTTACTTATATTTGAAATATATAATATGTATATTTTATTTTTTAGGCATTAACTGCTAGTGAATTAGTTCATCTTTTAAAAGCAGATGTTCTTCAAATTATTAATGAATCTGAACAACAAAAAGAAATTGATTAAAAAATAAATTATAAATTATCTATTTAAAGAATAAAGTAATAATTAAAATTAAAAAAAAAATATGTCAATCAAAATATTATCTGGAAAAGTATTTTTAGTAATAACTGGTGCAAGTCGTGGAATTGGAAAACAACTTGCAATCTCATTTGGTTCAGTTTTAGAAGAAGGTTCACATATTCTTCTATTAGCAACAAATCTGAATGCTTTAAAAGAAACAGCAAAAAATATTCCATCAAGTATATTTGTTGATACTGTTAGTATTGATTTAGCTAAAGCAACAAAAGATAAATTGCATGGTAGGTATATTTTATACATATATTTTATAGATAAGTATAGAGTAAAATAGAATATATATACAATAATAAAATAGAATATATATACAAATATATGATTTTAGATATTATTATACAATCTTTGAAAAATGAGATTTTGGATCAGTTTGATCGTATAGTTGTAATACACAATGTTGGTTCAATAGGAAATATTAATCAATATACAAATGATTTAACAGAATTAAATGTTTGGCATGATTATTATGATTTAAATGTGTTTGTTCCTGCTATATTAAATGGAGTTATTATGAAAATATTTAATGAAAATACAAATACTAAAAAGCTGGTTATAAACATTACATCATTGCTTGGTATAAAACCAGAAAAATCAATGGCCTATTATTGTAGTGGAAAAGCAGCCCGAGAAATGTTTTTTAAAGTAATATTTAATTTTATAATTTTACATTAATGTAAATAATTTAAATAATTTTTATTATATTTATTATTTATTATTTACATTATACAGGTATTTGCATTAGAAAATCCACAAGTGAACGTATTAAATTATTCACCAGGACCAGTTGAAACTGATATGTATTATGAAGTTTGCACCAAAATAGCTGATGAAAATGTTAAAACACGATTTAATGATTTGATAACAAAAAAAACAATTTTAACTTGTGAAAAAACAGTTAATCGTCTTTTAACAATTCTTGAAGAACAAAAATATAAATCTGGTGATCATGTTGATTATTATGATGAATTATAAATTATATAGATTTATCAATAGAAATAATTTACTTTTTATTATCTTTTATGAATTTCATAAAGAAATAAATTTCTAATAAAATTTAAATAGAATTAATTAAAATTGATTATATTTTGTTGACCATTATTGTTATATTATAAAAACAAAATAATATAAAATATAAGTTCTTAAATATTTACATTAAATTCTTTCATTATAGTATAATACAATATAATACATATGTTTATTTTAATTTTCTTTTAGAATAAATATTTATCTTAATAGTAAAGTTTTATCTTAATATTAAAATTTATATTAATATTAAAGTTTATGATGATTCATCATTTTGTATCAATGCTGTATATCTTGCAGAATTAGTTTTTGCATTTTGAATTCGTATATTTATTAAAATAAATATTACAATAATATAAATTCCTCCAGACACTAACCAAACTGGTAATGGATATATAGGTGGCATAAAATGTAAATAAATCATATTATATAAAGAAGCTGCCACAAATGGAGTTAATGTTTCAATAGATATTGTCATAGAAAATATTTTACCTAAATATTTTTAAAAATATTATTTAATTTCATATATAAAAAAAAATGTTATTATTTTCTTTATCTAACAATATTTACCAGTATCTTCTGATGGTACTGATTTGGATAATATAGCACGAATCATAGGATTAGCAATACCACTAAACATTCCTACTACTGCAGATATATACATATGCCAAGGTTTCAATGTAAAGCTTTGTACTAAACTACTACTCAAAGAAGACAATAACGAAAATATAGCTACAGTTTCTTCAGAAAATCCTATAAAAATATTATTTTTTTAATTAAATTCTTTTTTTATTAAATTTTTAAAAATTCTTAATATATAAAATTTAACTTATACCTCCATATGTTACCAACATTTTTACACCAAATGTTATTCCAAGAATTGTAAGTATTATATTTGTAGCCAAATAAATGGAATATTTATTTACATCCCAACCAAATCTAGCACTAACAAATAAGAAACCAATAGTCATTTCTCCTTGCATAGCAATGACCATTAAAATAATAGAAATTATACAACACCAAACTATATATCGATTGAAACCATCTCGTTTTTTGGTACATGTACTTATAAGTTTTCTAACCAAATGAATATTAAACAAGCTCTTTATAGTTATCTACAAATATTAAAAATATTATATTATAATAATAATATATTTATTGCAAAATACATACTGAATCTGTGATGTGAATTGTTTCAGGAACTAAGAAGCAAATATGCAATCCTGCTAAAATGCAACATATAGTAGCAATAACAAATACAAGTGTATATCCATATATTTTAAAAATAATGGGTCCAGCTAATATACCAATTAAAATACCAATAGATATTAAAGCTTCCATCCAAGCTAATTGCCATCCTCTTTCTTGTTCATTTGATATATCAGAAAGATAACAAACAGTACCTAATAAAATTATACAAAATCCTCCACAACAAGCATATGGAATATATGCAATTAACAAAAACCATGGATTGATATCCCAAATAGTCATAGAAGAAAGAAGGAAATATGTTAAAGAAATACCTGTGACAAAAAAATCACAGATTGAATAAATTTAATTTAATTTTTTAAAACATACAATACCGACCAATATAGCCAGATAATATAATAGATTTTCTTCCATATATGTCACTCCATGGTCCCAAAAACAAAGATAATAAAGCAGGAATAATACTTTCAACAATTGACTTTATCATTAAAATTAAACTTGCTTTAGGTTGAACTTGTGCATCTATTTTTAATGCTTCTGCAGAACTACTATTTTCATGTAACAGCAAACATTCTGTTTTATTTATATTTAATATTATACTACAAGTACGATATATTATTAAATCTGTTAAAATATTACCTAAAATTAAAAACATATAATACTCACTTTGTAATAAATTGACTTATTAAAATATATTAATAAATCAATAAATTATATCATAAAAAATTTATTTTTTCAATAAAATAAAAAATTACATATACTTATGTATAGTGAGAATAATGATTTGATACTTTTTTTTTTTTAATAAAAAAAAATATTGTTACATATTGTTCAAATATCTTTCATATATCATAATATAATCTAATATTGTTATTTTGTTTTATTATTTTATTATTATTTCATAGTCTAAAATTCAAATTGTAATAAGTATTACATACCAATCATATATATTATAATTAAATTAAATTATATATACATTAAATATATTATGATATTTATATAAATATATTACTTGATATTGCTTGAGCAATTATTAGCATCATCATAGGTGGTTGTACCAATGTGTAACGTTTCCATTCTGTAATTGTTCTTTCCATTTTATATATACACGTTTTGAAAGTTTAGTTGTAAATTAAACTATATAAAATATTTTATTTATATAAAAATTTAATTATATATAAATCATATAAGTTTAAATTACGTAAAAATATTAATTATATTTGATAGTATAATATTAAATTATTAAAATATAATAAAATTCACTAGATCACGATTAACGATATCTTAACATTATTTTTTAACTCTGAGTGAATCATTTTGATACGCTACGTCATCCATTATAATTAATAGATAAATTTGTCTCATTATTATTTCGATATATCAAAACCTGTAATTTATTTGAATAAATATTGTATTTTAAATATTTTATATATATTTTCATAGTAAAAAAATAAGTTTAATACATATATATATTAATGATAGATATTTATATGTATTTTCTATTTATGATATAGTGAGATTATAAAAATTATTTTACAAAAAATCATAAATATTTTGATTATAAAATATGAATAATATCAATAATCTCATCATATTATATCGTATTCATATAATAATTACAATTTTAGACAGATTACACTTTATAGATATAAATCTATTAATATATTTTTGACAGTTGATCAGCTGATTATCAGCAGTTACTAGATTGTTGCTAGACGATGTTGAATATACATATCTAATTATTTTAATATAAATTATAATATAATAATATAATAATTATACATTATTTTTAAAAATATTCTTAAATAATATTATTTATGTATTATTAATAGAATTTATTAATTCTTCTATATTTAAAATGAAAAATTTTGAAAATAAATATTAATTTGAGATATATAAGTAAAAACAAATATATGTTATAAAACGATAATTATCTATAAATAATAAAGATTTTATAAAATATTTAAAAAAACAACAAATTAATAATAAATATTATTTATTATATTTTTGAAAATAAAAAATATTTTAATGTTATAATATTATAAAGAAAATTCCTATTACTTTCTTGTAAAATTTTTA